TCCCAGTGCACAGCCCCCTCTTGCATCGGTTTCCCTCTGAGAGCTCTGTCAGTCTTGGAGCCTTCTTCCTGTGTCTATGGGAGGAACTGTGAGGCTAGCTGCTATGCTCCTACTGGAGACATTGCCATCAGAGGTCTGTCAGAGGGTACCATCTGTTGATTGAAATGTTAACAGCGAATGATACTGCCTCAAGTGGAAACTAGAAAAGACCTTTGAAAAAACAAAACAAATAACAGCCTTTAGGGACTGTAGAGATGACTCAGTGCTTAAGAGTGTGTAGTTTGCCGGGCGTTGGTGGTGCACGCCTTTAATCCCAGCACTTGGGAGGCAGAGGCAGGTGGATCTCTGTGAGTTCCAGGCCAGCCTGGTCTCCAGAGTGAGTGCCAGGATAGGCTCCAAAGCTACACAGAGAAACCCTGTCTCAAAAAAAAAGAGTGTGTAGCTCTAGTCCAAAGGACCTGAGTTCAGTTCCCAGCTACCAGGTCAGACAGCTCACAATCTGTAATTCCAATTTTAGGGAATCTAGTGCCCTCTTCTGACCTTTGTGGGCACTGCACTCAAGTGCACAAAGCTATACTCAGACACAACTTTAAAACACATTTTTTTTTAAGACCAGACCATATGTCTTGGGCAATTGTAAGCTCACACCAGAATTGAGAGGAAGGTACAGAGAATGCTGGATCTTCCCTGAACCCACATATGCCCAGTACCCTCACATCCCCACTAGAATGGTATGTATGTTACATCTTATGAACCTGTGTTGACACTGCCTGGTAACATTGGGCTCCCTCTGGTGGGTGTGTATTTTGTGGGTTTACACAAATGTGTTATTATACATGTTTGCCAGTACAGTGTCACACACAGGACTTTCACTTCCCTAAACAATTTTTTATGTGGTTTCTGGAAGCTCACAGTGTGTGAGTGAGTGTCATCTGTAAAACAAATTCTCTAAAGAACAAATGACTAGTTTGGGGCAAAAACTAGTGCTGGCACAAGCTGTCTCCGAGCTCTGCAGAAGGCCTATTTCATAGCCATAGAGTTCCAGGTGACAGGAATCATTGCAACCTTGTGAATCATGCCATGAATCACCCCAAATCACAGTGCCTGACTCCTTGGACATTACATTCCCTTGTGTTCTGTGTGCAGAAATGAGTGTTCGTATCAGGGGAGAAGAAAAGCCCTTCGGAGTTACTGTTTGTCACTGTTGCATTGAACCCCTTCCATAGCTCTTTAGTGTGTCTTGTCTTCATGTGTGTATATGCAACACATGTGTGCAGAGGTCAGAAGAGGGCATCAGATCAAATTATGAGAAAATCCTGTCTATATGACTGATTCTCCCTCAGCTCTGTTGCACGAGAAATCATCTTTTGTGGCAGTAAATCAACTGTTTAACAGCAGCTAACAGTTCAGAATTTTTTTTTAAAGATTTTATTTATTATGTATACAACATTCTGCTTCCATGTTGTATATCTGCACACCAGAAGAGGGCACCAAATCTCATAACGGATGGTTGGGAGCCCCCATGTGGTTGCTGGGAATTGAACGCAGGACCTCTGGAAGAGCAGTCGATGCTCTTAACCTCTAAGCCATCTCTCCAGCCCCAGTTCAGAATGTTTTTAAAATGAGGGTTGAGTATTCTGTTGGTAACATTTCGATTGCTGTGATAAAATACTCAAGAAAATCAACTTAAACAGAGGAAATGTTTGAGCTCATGTTTTCAGTCCACGGTTGCTTGGACCTGCTGAGGCTGAATGTCATGGAAGAAATGCTTGTTAGAGTAAAGCTGAAAGGGGGCTCCTTCTCCAAACCCATAAATTTGAGTCTACAAAAGGATTGGCTACCCATGAGGTCAGAGCCCTCATGATCCAGTCACCTCTCAATGGCTCTGAACCCTGGTTACAGTGGGGACTATCCCTTCAACACATGAGTCTTAGGGAGACAATTAAAAGCATCATTTTCTCTTCCCAAACCCACGGGATCCCTGGTAAGATTACAGTGATAGGAAGAAGCAGTCTTTCCTCCTGAATGCTGGGATTAAAGATGTGCACCACCACTACCAGGTTTATACTCCCTGGTCCGTACTAATTTTTTTTTTCATTTTATTTATTTTGGGAAGGGTGGAGTGTGGGCAATGGGTGTGCCCCAGCACATGTGGAGATTAAAGGACAAATTGCTGAAGTCGTTTCTGTCTGTCCACAAGATCATCAGGCTCCTCTATCTGCTGAGCTGTCTCCCTGGTCCTGAACAAAGAAAGTTTAATATAAGAATCATTCACCATAACAGGAGATTGGGGTAGCCTCGGATTGGCTACTCGAAAAGGAAACTTTAAATTATAGGAGTAACAGATTGGAGCAGCAGCCACAGCCTGTGGGCTGACCTTGCACAAGACATGCCTATGGCTTACTGAAGACAGAAAAGTCATACTAGTGGAACTTTCTGGAAATTGGGTTTCTAAGATGCCTGAGAAAACTGCTCTGGGGAGGTGACTGAAGGTGACCCCGGGATAGCCTGGCAGAGCATGAGCAGAGGCCAGGAAAGACCTGCACTGTGGGGGCTCCCAGGTGACACCCTAGAACCAGGAAGCACAGCTCTCTTGTCCTGCAGTCTTGTTTGTACTTTTGGTTTTTTGATTTGTTTCCATTGCCTTCTGAGAAGCTTACCATTGCCCCAGTTAAGAGACCCAGACCCACTTTCACAGAGTGGGCAAGGAGTGTGAATTAGGAACAGAGGGGCAATGCCACCTAAGGCGGAGTTTCTTTCCAGTCAGGTCTTTGCAGCCCTTTAGTCCCAAATAAACACACAGAGGCTTATATTGATTATAAGCTGTTTGGCTGATATCTCAGGCTTCTTATTGGCTAGCTCTCTCTTAATTATTATCCCATTTATATTAAACTATGCATTACCAGGAGACTGTGGCTTACTTGTAATGCTCTAGTATGTCACTCCTTTAGTGGCTACATGGCATCTCTCTCTGGCAACTCTCTTGCATTTCTTCTCCCATCATTCTCCTAGTCTGGAAGCCCTGCCTATGCTTCCTGCCTGACTACATTAGCAGAAACAGTTTTATTTATCAACCATTAAGAGAAACATATATTCACAGCATACAGATAGACATCCCCCATCAGCCACCAGTACAGTGACTCTGACAGATGTCAATAGTCATGACATCCCAAGTGAAAGGTTGCTAGGAGACATGCTTGCACATAGTGAATTTGGGAGGCTTAGGTATTGCTCATACTGTCTCTTGACTGAAGATTGCCTGCAGCTTCATTTTTAGTACCAGACATACACATAGACCTTGCAGTGTTGCAAGTAAAGGCCCAGTAAATCCTTAGCTCAGTAGAAACTGTGGAGAGAACAACGTGTCCAAGTATGTGCTTCATTAGTACTTTGGAGCATACCTTCCATCTTCCCGAAGATCTGCAGGGGCCTCTGCCCGGTACCTGGTTGTGATCCAGGGTTGCTCATCACCATCAACCTTAGCTTCCTTCACTTTCCTGAGCTGAGTGTCAGTAGCACTAGCACAGTGACAGAATCATGTCTGTGATATATGCAGTGTCTTCTTTCTGGATTACCGACTTTGGTTGGTTGGGACACATTTCCCAGCCACATTCTTGGAAAGGTTAGTAAGTTGTTTGATGACTGTGTATACTTTAAAATGCCTCTACTCTATCCTGCTGTTTTGTTTTGTTTTGTTTTCATGACAGGGTTTCTTTGTGTAACCCTGACTGTCCTGGAATTCACTCTGTAGACCAGGCTGGCCTCCAACTCAGAGATCTGCCTGCCTCTGCCTCCCAAATGCTGGGATCAAAGGTGGGCACCACCACTACCCATTTCTCTATCCTGGGTTTTTTTAAAAAATCTCATTTGGGTTGCTTGTTTTATTTTATTTTGTTGTTGTTTGGCGGGGGATTGTTTGTTGGTTTGTTTCTATGTTTTGAGACAAGGTCTCACTATGTTAGCTTCTCTGGCATGGAATTTACAAAGATCCACCTGCCTCTGCCTTTCAAGTGCTGGGATTAGAAGTTTGTGACACCACACCTGGCTGCTCCTCACATCTAGACAGTTTGGCTGGCTGCCAAAATCTTGGAAATTCTTTTCCTTCAGAATCTTGATCCTGGTATTACATCTATCTTCCTATTTGTAGAGTAGGAAGCCATCCTGATCTTCATTCCTTCCTTTGTGGCCTGTTTTCTTACTAAGAGCTTATAAGAATCCATTCCTGTTCTCAGCATCCTTAGGCAGCATGATGATAGAATTTGTCTTTCTCCACTCATGAGTATTACTAGGTATTTTTTTTCTTTGACTTGGAGACATCCCTGTTCTTAAATGTTCAAACTTCTGGATTAATCTTCCAATTTTCTTAATGTAGCTCTCCTTTTTTCTAATTTTTTCTCTTTTTTGAGATTTTATTTATTTTTCTTTTTTGTGTATACATGTCTGCCTGAATTTATGTCTGTGTGTCCAGTACCCACAGAGACCAGAAGAGGGTTCCACTGGCCTGGGACTGGAGTTGCAGATGGTTATGAGATGCCATGTGGATGATGGGTATTAAACCCAGGTCCTCCGAAAGAGCAGCCAGTGCTCTTAACCACTGAGGCCTCTGTTCAGCCCCTTCTTTTGTTTTTATTTAAAGACAGTGTCTCATTGCATATCACTGGCTTTCTGCTCTTGCAGAAGACCTCAGTTCAGTTTCTGGCACCCATATCAGTTGTCTCAGAACTGCCATGCACTCCATCCCCTGGACAATCTGATGCCTCTGGACTCCATGAGCACCTGCACACATGTGGATACACATGCACATGATTGAAAACAAACCCCAGTGTGTACTAGGACCAATGTCTTTGAGCTAAAGCTATGTATATTGATCTGAAGCTAAATTCTGTAAGTGGAAGCGTACTTGCTGCTTAGTACATGTTATGTTATAGTGTTTAGTGCATAAATATTTAGAGTTGTTTCTGTTGGTTCATAGAAGTTTTACATTTTTTTCCCTTTCCTAGGACAAAGTTAAACTATAATCCTCCAAAAGATGACGGATCCACTTATAAGATTGAACTTGAAGGGATATCGGTAATGGTTATGAGAGAGATCCTGGATTACATCTTCAGTGGGCAGGTATGGTGACACCCAGGCTCCAGACACAGCAGAGGCTTCCCAGCTTTCAGAGCGGTATTGCCATGTCATCTTCTGCCATCAGGGGTATCTGTTGGCATCTTCCTGGCGATGACCCCATATCCGTGTTCTTTCAGACTCTGTCCCTAAACGAACAACACAGTTAGATCATAGACCAAATCCCAGCTTATGCTCTTGTGAGGTCCACCCTCCAGACTGAGATTGGAAGAACAGTGTACCCTCACCGCTGACTCTTGCCACCACGTCTTGAATCTGATCTTGTACAACACCCACCCTGTCAGGACCTTCTCTGTCTGCATGGAAACAGGAGCTTCTCTGGGCACCGGGACTTATTCTATAGAAACAGTTTGCTATGGGTCATTGCCACGAAAGGCACCTCACATTGAAAGCCACCCTTGTAGTATGCACTGGTGGTCCTACATTTCACCCTACCCCTGCCCTGTCTTCCTGCATTCCCTCTACTCTTTGTGCCACACTGTTTCTGGAGATGTGGTATTACCCAGGCAAGAAATGGTAAGCAACTAGACTGCTTTCTTTTCCTTGCCTTCCAACCCCGTCCTCTTTCTGTAATTTAAGTTCTAACATACAACTCTTATGACGCTTAGCAGGGTTACAGAGAAAGGTTCAGAGAGCTTGCACTCTCCCAGTCCCAGCACCTGCAGGAGGTGGCTCACAACCCCCTGGAACTCCAGCTCCAGGAAAGCTTATGGAACAAACATACACACACACATACAAGTAGATAAAAATAAATCTTAAAAAAAAAAAAGGCATGCCTTAAATCCCAGAACTTGAGAGGCAGAGGCAGGCAGATCTCTGTGAGTCCGAGGCCTGCCTGGTCTACAGAGTGAACTCCAGGACATTCAGGGCTGTTCCACAGAGAAACCCTCCCCCCTCAAAAAAAAAAAAAAAAAAAAAAAAAAAAAAAAAAAAACAGAAAAGAAGATACTTTTGAGTATTTTGGCCAGAGAGCAGAGTAGTGTGTTGTACATTGAGGTGTGTGAAAGTATGTTCTGCCATTTTCTCCAAGATATTACTCCTTGCCCTATCTGTTGGACCTTTCATCATTGCTGTTGTTCCCCGACCTTCCTTGTTCTAAAAGGTCTGTTTTTCCCAGTAGTTTTCTAAGTGTTTGGAGTGTATTGCCTGTCTTTTCTGAATGCATTTGTTCTGTCCACACACTCAGGGATTCTAATCCTGTTGAAGTGTGTGATGTGATTTTGTAGGAAAACATAGATTAAGGGACTCTTTCTTCCTAAACACAAGGCAATGGATGTGCATGCATGTGATGTTAAAGTGAATGAAGCTAGAGTCCTTTTGGCATGGCCCCTAAGATCCTAGAAACACTGCACAGCAGCGAGGACCCAGGCATCTCACCAGCCAGGTCTGACTTGCAGGGTGGAGTCAGTGCAGTTATGAACACAGCAGGTGATGGGCCACTGAGGGCATGCTCTGTGCAGACTTCGACTGCAGCCTGGGGCCTGTCTGCAGATTAACTGCTAGGATTTGTCCCAGTTAAACTTTAGAATCCAGTTGGCAAGTTAAGCTATGACAGACTTCTAAATTAGCTGTTTGGTTTAATTGAGATGTGATTTCGTGTTTCTGCATGGATTTGTATCTGCAGCTGTTCCCTGTCTTCTGGCTGAATTTAACATTCTTGGAGCTGAGTTGTGGCTGAGTGGTAGAGCTCTTACCTGTAATGCATGAGGCCCTGGGTTCCATCCTGAGAAGTACAAAAAAATAGAAATAAAAGAAGAGGTGGAGGGCTGGACAGATGGCTCAGTGGGTAAAGGCTCTGCTGCAACCCTGATAACCTAGTTCATTCTGAAGAACCCACATGGTAAAAAGAGACCATCCATTCCTGAAAGGTCCTCTGACCTCCACAGGTATCCTGGCATGCATACACCCCCACACACTGTCTTAGTCAGGGTTTCCACTGCTGTGATGAAACACCATGACCAAAGCAACTTGAAGAGGAAAGGATTTATTTGGCTTACACTTCCACATCACAGTCCATTATTGAAGGAAGTCAGGACAAGGACTCAAACAGGGCAGGAACCTGGAGGCAGGAACTAATGCAGAGGCCATGGAGGGGTGCTGCTTACTGTCTTGTTCTCATGACTTGCTCAGACTGCTTTCTTATAGAACTCAGGACCACCAGCCCAGGGATGACCCACCTCTCCCATCAGTCACTAGTTAAGGAAATACACTACAGGCTTGCCTATAGCTTGATCTTACAGAGGCATTTTCTCAGTTGAGGCTTCCTCCTCTGATGATTCTAGCTTGTGTCAAGTTGACATGAAACTAACCAGCACACATACAAACAAACAAGAAACCCAAACAAAAAAGATACAAAAAAGAAGAAAAAGTTAGTAATGTCCCCAGCATGGGAAATTTTCCTCACTTAGTATATTACTTCCCACAATTCTGTGCGCAGTTTCTAAGGCGATTGGTAATAACACATTTTTAAATCTGTAGTATGAAAATGTATAGAATGTGGTAAAAATGTTTCTTGCTGGACCCTGAACTCTCTCGTTTCTGAAGCAGCAGAGTCTGGGGGGAGCTTGGCTGTGCTGTGGCATTTTGCAGTTGCATGGAGAAGCGTGAGGCAGGGAGAGAAAGATGCATCAGGCAGACTCTGGAGAAAACCAGACTCACAGTAAGGGAAACTGTACATGAGGGATTTATTCCAGAAGGTAGTTTGAGTCCCACGTGCTATGGCATTGAGTATGGGCTACCGAACATTGGTGGCCTGCACCCACTTGGCAGACAGGAATCCTAATGTATCTAGAGATAACTCCAATTTCCACTAACAGCAGTACTGTTCCTAAATGCTCAGTCTGGTTTTTGTCGGGGTTGAAAATGTGAACACATGGGTATGTTCCCTCAATAGGAGAGTGTAAATCATGCTGGCACAGGAGGGGAATGCCTGGACAGGTGAACAGGTTAAAAGTCAGACACATCTGCTGTGAGAGAAGGCCCCTTCATGCCTCAGACTTTTGAAAGATGTGCAGTATATGGTCAACACTGCCAGTCATCTTTGACCTCCACCAGTGGGAATTTGAGGGCAGGAGAAACAACTCAGTTGTTAAGAGTGCTCCCTACTCCTGCAAAGGGCCTGAATTCAGCTCCTGGCTCCTATGTTAGCATCTCACAACTGCCTGTAACTCCAGCTCCAGTGGAATCCAATGCCTCTGATCTGTGAGCAACCACACTCATGTGCACATACACATGATTAAAAATAAATCTTTAGAGATAAAAGAAAAAAGTGGCAATTTCCTGTGGACCAGAACTAGGTTAGTGGTTTTACGTCTGCATTCAGATATAAAGTGTTTATGGTCTTCTTACAGATCAGGCTAAATGAAGACACGATCCAAGATGTTGTACAGGCAGCCGACCTGCTGCTGCTGACGGACCTTAAAACCTTGTGCTGCGAGTTCCTGGAGGGCTGCATTGCTGCAGAGAACTGCATCGGCATCCGTGACTTTGCACTGCACTATTGCCTGCACCATGTGCATTACCTGGCCACCGAGTACCTGGAGACTCACTTCCGAGACGTCAGCAACACAGAGGAGTTCCTGGAGCTGAGTCCACAGAAGCTCAAAGAAGTGATCTCTCTTGAGAAACTGAATGTTGGCAATGAAAGATACGTGTTTGAGGCGGTGATTCGGTGGATAGCACATGACACAGAGATGAGAAAGGTACCTGCCACTCAGGACATGGCCGCGGGTTCCCTTTTCATTAATGTGTTTATTTACTTTGTGTGATGAGAGGGGTGAATGTGAAGGCAGAGGCCAACCATTGATGATGTCCCTTAGGAACACTGTCTGGCTCTTTGAGGGTCTCTCATTAACTTGGAGCTCACCAATTAGGATGGACTGGCTAGTCAGCAAACCTTAGAGATCCTTCTGCCTCTGCCTGCCCAGCCCTGGGGTCCAGCCATGGTGTACACCACCATGCCCAGCAATCTTTTTTTCTTTACTTTTCTTTTCTTTTTTTTTTTTTTTTCCGAGACAGGGTTTCTCTGTGTAGCTTTGGAGCCTATCCTGGCACTTACTCTGGAGACCAGGCTGGCCTCGAACTCACAGAGATCCACCTGTCTCTGCCTCTCGAGTTCTGGGATTAAAGGCGTGCGCCACCAACACCCAGCTCATGCCCAGCAATCTTACATGCATTCTGGAGATCAGGCTCAGGTCAGCACAATTGGAAGGCATTCACTTTACTAACTGACCCAGCCCTTTGTTTATTTTTAACACAAATCACAGTAGTTTGTCTTCTCCATCTTGAAACACTCACCAAGTTGTGAACTAAAGGATATCTGGAAAACATTTTCCATCTGTTGCTGTTAGCAATCATCTGGCTGTGATCTCTGTTCTTCCCAGAGAGCAATGAGAAATACTTTGTTGCTAGCAGTCCCAGGTCCTCAAGTGCCCAAGGCCTAGGTACTGGACAGACCCCAAGGCTCACACTCCCAGCCCTAAGAGCCGGGAGCTTCTTTGTCCAGGCTATCCAGTCAGACTTGTGGCTGGAGATGCTCAGGTTGGAGACTTCTTGCTTTGAGCTTTAATTACCAGTGGTCCTGGCATTGACAGCTGTTATAACCCTGAGCTTCTGGCAGCAGTGGGCAGCATGCTCCTTCCTACAGCTTTTAGAGCTTCTGAGGGCCTCGGGTATTGACCCTCAGCTCCTCAGAGGTGAGTGTTATGGTCCTCAGGCCTAGGATCTCTGAGACTCTTGGATTTTACATCTTAGAAGTTCTCTGGAACTCTTCCAGTAACGGGGCTCATAGTTTCTCTTTTTTAGCTCTTTACAGCTTTCATTATCTCCTGCACCCCAGTCCTGGTCACTTTATGGACCTCTTCAACTGTCCTGCTACTGCTGTCATCGATTGCTGTCCCTGCTTTATTTCCTTCCATTTTTCCAGTCCTCTTTATGTCATAGTTCATCATAGGCAAACAGTTAAGATCAAAAGTAGGGATGAAGAGCCATTGAAGGATATACCCTTTGGGGAGCAGGGGACTTAATATTGCAACACTAAGGGACAACACAGGAGGGCAGCTTCCAACTGACATAAAAATTTTGCTTCTATAGCCAGAAAGGAAGTATGGAAATGGTGTTTGGAATTACAGCCATCCTTTAGGATTGCCAGAGAGGAGATGGCTATATTTGTGCCAGTCACAGTAGACCTTCATAATAATGAAGGACTGTTTGCACTAACCTCAGGCTGGCCACCAGGGAAATGCTCGCACACTGGCCTGGGTGAAAATGGCTGCTGGAGGTTAGTGAGGCTTGTGATGGACAAAAAAAAAAGGTCCAGCTGTCTAAAATGCTGTGGCTAAGATAGTGATTGCTGGAGCCAGAGTTCTGTTTCAGTAGCAAGCAGCTATGGTTACCATGTAGTGCCCTCAGTTTAGCAGCAAGCAGCTGTGGTTGTCATGCAGTGCCCTCTCTTCAGTAGCAAGCAGCTATGTTGTCTCCCAAAGGCATCTATCTATAGAATGGGGCATGAAGGAGGTCCAGCTGGCTACTTAGCTGATAGTCCTCTACTCAAAGCAACTAGAGTCAGATTCCCCCCAGCCCCCAACATCTTAGCTAATTTGGAGGGAAAATAAAAATTAAAGAGATGCTTGGCTGGGCATGGGCAGATGCCTTAATCCCAGTACTTTGGAGACAGAGATGGGCTTTATCTCAGGGTTCAAGGCCAGCCTGGTCTCCATACAAGTTCCAGGCCAAACAAGACTATATAGTGAAACCCTTTCTCAAATAAAAATAAAAACCAAGAAGGGGAGGGTTGTTTTCAATAAAGATTTGTCATTAATATTGGTAGTGCTTGATTCAGAGACCCACAGCCAAACATTAAATGGAGATCAGGGAACCCCGTGGAGGAGGGAGAGGAAGATTGTAGGGATGAGGACACCACAGCAATACAGCCCACAGGATCAACTAAGCTGGGCTCATAGGGGCTCACAGAGACTGAAGCAACAGTCACAGAGCCTGCCTGCATGGTTCTGAGCTAGGTCCTCTGCATACATGCTATGGTTGTTTAGCCTGGGGTTTTTATGGGACTCCTAACAGTGGGAGTAAAGGTGTCTCTGACTCTTTCACCTGCTCTTTTCCTCCAGCTGGGTTGCCTTGTCCAGCCTGAATAGGAGGGTTTGTGCCTAGTCTTACTGTAACTTGTTAGGCCATGTATCCAGTAGGCCTGCTCATTTCTGAAGGAAAATGGAAGAGCAGTGGATCTGGAGGTGGGGCCGGGGCTGTGGTCTGGATGTATTGTATGAGAGAAGAATAAATAAAGCAGAAAAAAAAGTTAGCAGTGCTTGCTCGGTGTGGAAGTGTGTGCTGTTAATCTCAATACTCCAAAGGCAGAGGCAAGTGGATCTCTGTGAATTCGAGGCCAGCCTGGTCTGCCAGGTGAGTTCCATGTCAGCCAGGACTACACAGAGAAACCCCGTCTTGAAAAACAAAACAACAACAAAAACATTAGCCATGCTTTCACATCATTAACTTCATACCCCTGAGGAGATTTCATTTGCTCCCAAAGACACAGTCTGAGAGAGCGGTCCATGTACTTCACAGTATGTTGGGTACCTGTAAAGCCATACTTGCCATCATACGTTGCTTTTAATTGGGAATGCAGTTTAAGCTTAAGCTGAAGTTTTCTGAACTGCCACTGAACCTTTGCTGTAGAAAGTGCCAGGCTACCCTCTCACAAGATGCTGCATCAGTAGACGGGAGTGGAACATGGAGTCTGGCAGAAGAGCTTTTCTGAGGCTTTCCCTGGACTGACTGACACCATGTCAGGAGTGTGTGGCACAGTAGTGCCACATAAACAAGGGAGGTCTGAGAAGATGGCTTAGAGGGTAAAACACTTCCAGCACAGACCTGTCACCCTGAGTTTATTCCCTGGAACCTATATTAAAAAAAAAAATGCAAGAACTGGCAGTGGTGGTGCCTGCCTTTAACCCCAGACTCAGGAGGCAAAGGCAGGTGGATCTCTTGAGTTTGAGCCAGCCTGGTCTCCAGAGTGAGTTCCCAGGACAGCCAGGGATACACAAAGAAATCCTATCTCGAAAAACCAAATAAATAAATAGATGATAGATAGATAGATAGATAGATAGATAGATAGATAGATAGATAGATAGATAGATAGATAACAGGATGTGGCAGTGCACATCTGTAATCCCAGCACTCCCACAGTGAGATGGGAGGCGCAGACAGGAAGCTCAGCTGGAAGCTCATGTACCAGCCAGCCTAGAATACACAGCACAGCCGAAACGAGACACCCTGCTTCAGCAAGGTAGAAGGGAGAACTAACTACTTAACATGGTCCTCTGATCTCTGCACACATTCCATGGCATGTGTGCACCCACATTCATCATTCATTCACAACTAAATTTAAAAGAAATAAATTATAGCCCTCTACATATATGTGACAGTTGTGCGTGTACCTTGATCTGTTTATAAGACTCCTAGCAGTGGGAGCAGGGGCTGTCCCTAACACTTTGGCTGCCTCTTAGAAACCTATTCCTCATTTTGGATTGCCTTGCCCAGCCTAATTACAAAGGGAGGTGCTTAATCTTAGCACAACTTTGATATGCCATGCTTTGTTGATATCCATGGGACACCTGCCCATTTCTGAAAAGAAACAGGAGTGGATGAGGCTGGGTGGCAGGAGAGGAAGGGGGGAAACTTTGGTCAAGATGTAAAATAAATTTTTAAAAAAGAAAAAAATTGTAATTAAAGTTAAACAGGGAGGCGGGGCATAGCATCACTTTAATCCCAGCACTCAGGAGGCAGAAGCATGTGGATCTGTTTGCATTCAAGGTCAGCCTGGTCTACATAGCAAGCTCCAGGACAACCAGAGCTATATGAGATTCTGTCTGAAAAGTAATAAATAAATGGGCAAATAACAACAAAAAACCAAATGGAGAAGGTCCGGGAACAACGGATGCGGGAGGGTCTTAGAAAACAACAGCCTTTAGGTCCCATTGGGATCCAACGGGGAATATAGCTTTTCAATTCTATTCTCCAATTACTTGTTTCAAAATCAGAAATGTATTGGGCTGGTTTCAGAGACTAGATTTTGTGTAATTACACTGTTCTTTGTTCTTGGCAATGACTGACTTAGCTCTTATTGATTATCTTATAGTTTTTAAATTTTGTGAGCCTGTGAGCGTGTACACTCAGAAACCATGCATATAGTCTTAGCTGCAGTTAGGCCACCGGGTATTCTGCTCCATGGTAAGTAATTGAGGAAGGGAGATACTCACAGAGGCCACTAGGAGACACTGCTCCTCCTTGGCTTGTGCTGTATCATCCTCTTGCTCAGGGTGTTCAGGGTGACTGATTACCAGGAAACAGGGCAGTTCTCTGTCCTTTGGCTAGTCTGACTTCTCAGAACATGGAAAAGTATGTTCTAACTTATTCGGGGTGGGGGGGGGGGTGTCCCCTTACCCACAGAGGCAGTACTAGATGGTGAATTGAGATCAAGTCCATGGCCAGAATCACCCAGAGTATGCCCAGGTATCAGAGATGGCCACTGAGACCCAAAAATACCCAAAGCTGTGAGGTAGTTTTGAACCGTAACCATTGCAGGGATTATACAATTTTGGGGATTTTTTTAACCTTCGGCTTTGCTGATTTTCTTACAATATTAATGATCTGTTTCCAAGTTTACCATACTGTACTCACTATTGTCTTTCTGGTGTTTCAGTGTCCAGACAGTGAGATAAATCAGTATGGCCGCTTTCACTTAGGTAACCTACTGGGTAGGACCCTTCAGGGTATGGAAAGCTTTTGAAGCTTTACAGTACAAATACAAACAGATTTTTGTTTGTTTGTTTGTTTGTTTGTTTGTTAATTAAACCTTTATTCCCAGAGACTGTGGACAAGAAAAATTAAAAAGGAGAGGAGAGTGCCACATGCCTGTAATCTCATGACTTGGAGTCTTGAGGCAGGAGGATGGTGGGCTTGAAGCCAGCCTAGATTACATAGCAAGACCCTGTCTCAAAAGAAAGAAGGAGGGGGGCTGGAGAAATGGCTGAGCAGTTAAGAATGTTTGCTGCTCTACAGAGGACCAGAGTTGGATTCTCAGCACACACATCAATTAGTTGACTCACACCCACCTATAACTCTAGCTCCAACAGCACCAATGCCCCCTTTGCCCTGTAGGCACCTATGCAATATACATAATTAAAAATAAAAAGTGCATACAAAATACTCATACACGTAAAATAATAAAAATAAAATTAAAATTTTTTTTTAAGAAGAAAAGAAGAATAGGGATCTGGTTGCATATTCAGGCTGTGCTGGGAATGACAGTGCCTGCTAATAGACAGTTCAAGGCTACCATCTGCTGAGAATCGGGAAGTGTTTGAGAAGACCCATGTCACCCCTCTCCTGTCCCTCCTCCTCCCTCTGCAGGTCCACATGAAGGATGTCATGTCAGCACTCTGGGTTTCAGGGCTGGACTCCAGCTATCTGCGGGAGCAGATGCTGAATGAACCCTTGGTACGAGAAATCGTCAAAGAGTGCAGCAACATCCCGCTCAGCCAGCCGCAGCAGGGGGAAGCCATGCTGGCCAGCTTCAAGCCAAGGGGCTACTCAGAGTGCATAGTGACCATTGGAGGAGAAGAAAGAGTGTGAGTGTGGCAGGGGGCCTTGGAAGAGGGGTATGAGACAAGGGGGGCTACACAAAAAAATGCAGGGTAATATTCTCTGTCTAAAGTATAACAGTAATTGACTTTTTAAAATGGTTAACCATCTGTAGACTACTAAAATTGACTGTTTATGGTGAACAAAACTGTAAAACATCAGTTATGTATTTCCTTAGTTCACGGAAACCCACGGCCGCCATGCGCTGTATGTGCCCTCTCTACGACCCTAACAGGCAGCTGTGGATCGAGCTGGCCCCTCTGAGCATGCCGAGAATTAACCATGGCGTTCTGTCAGCAGGTATGCTCTTCTCAGGGCTAACACAACCTGACCCAGGAATGTGTTGTTTCAGGCTATTGCAGGTATACAGATGCGATTTTGCCTGGCGGGGTGCCCCATACCTTTAATCCCAGTACTTGGGAGGCAGAGGCAGGAGGATCTCTATGAGTTTGAGACCAGCCTTGTCTATATAATAAGTTTAGGTCAGCTAGGGATATGTAGTTGCATGCTGTCTCAAAAAAAAAAAAAAAAAAGATAGGGGGTGTGACTCAGAGAGCCCTGGGTCCGAGCTCCATTACCACCTGGTATGGTGACAAATGAGTTCCAGGCATCAAACTCAGGTTGTCAGCCTTTACAGCAAGCTCTTTTACCTACTAAGCCATTTCACCTGCCCTTTTTTTCTTCCTCATCCATTTTGTCTTCCCATGTTGCCTCTGCTCTTAGAAGTCTTGTCAAGCATGTCAGACCTTTCTCCTCCATTCTCTGCTTGTTTGTGTCAGCTTCTGGCCTTTTGTCTCTCTGTTCAAGATTAATGATTGCTTTTTTTGATTTATCTTGAGCTACTTTCCAGCTCTGAGAATCTATTAGTCCACCCAGGGGATTATTTCATTTCTGTCTCTCTGTGAGTCTTTGTTCAGTGTCATTTAGTAGTCATGTGCGTTTCGGGGTTGTGGTAAGTGTCACTGCTTTGCCTTCTCTGCTTATCCAGTACTTCAAGGCTTCGCAGCACCATTGCCAGTGTTTGCTTCTGCTCTTACTCCACGGGACCACATTTCTTGATGTGCCTGAGAGCCTTTGCTGGATGCTCTTATTCATAGAAAAATTAATGCCTTGCAGCATGACAGGTAGTCTGGGGCTTGGATGAAGGTGCTCTTTTTCTTCTATAAAGGTTTTACATTTGTTTCTGACGGTTGCAGGAAAATACTGTTGCTCCAAAACTGAGCTCAAGCTTGAAATTTCCTAAACAAGCAGAATGTTTAAATCAGTTAAGCTGGCCAAGGTGGGAAAAAACACTTGCCACCACACTGAGTTCAATCCCTGGGATTGAGTGGAATGAGACAAACAACTCCTGCAAGCTGTCTCTGATCACATGCACAAACACACACACACACACACACACACACACACACACACACACACACACATACACACACTTGAATTCTTTTCATTTTAATTTTTTGAGAATGCCATACATGAGTCCATTATATTTCTACCATTCCTATCCTTCCCTCTGTTCTCTTCAACTCTTCTGTTTTCCACCATGACCCCATCTCAAATTAATGACCTCTTCTGTAAATACACACACACACACACACACACACACACAATCTCCTGAGTCAGTTAGTATGGTCTGTATGCACATGTGTCTAGGGTTGACCATTTAGGATTAGGAAACCTATCAAGAGCTCATCCTGAAGAAAACAGATTCTCCCTCGGTGCCCATTGACTGCCTCTAGTGCATCTTGTAGAAGCATGTGAAACCTGATGACATTTTCCCCTTCTATGTTGGCATGTGGATTGAGGCGGTCTTGTGCAGGCACCAAACTGTTGAGAGTTCAGTGATGCAACTTCCCTGTCCTGCCTAAAAGACACTGTCTCGCAGCAGATATCCTGGCCATCTGTCTCCTACAGTCTTCCACCTTCCTTTCCATGATGTCCCCTGAGCCTTAGATGCAGGGCTTGCCTTGTAGATGTCCCAGTTAGGGTCTGACATTTATTTCCTGCATTGTGGCAGGTTGTGCTCTCTGCAGTGGCCTCTGTCTGCCACAGACAGCAGCTTCTTTGATGAGGCTGAAAGCCACACTTGCCGAAAGAGTGTACAGTGGGGGCTGGAGAGATGGCTCAGGGGTTAAGAGCACTGCCCGTTCTTCCAGAGGTCCTGAGTTCAAATCCCAGCAACCACATGGTGGCTCCCAACCATCTGTAATGTAGTCTGGTGCCCTCTTCTGGACTGCAGAGATACATGCAGGCAGAACACTGTATACATAATAAACAAATAAATCTTAAAAAAAAAAAAAGTGCACAATGTCAAATGTAATTTAAAAAGGAGTTGAATACTGGTTCCAGGTGGCACACTTACTTATCCCTTCCCTCCCTTGGTTTTAAATGTTGGGAATGAAACCTAGGACCTTGCCTGTGCTGGCCATGTGCTACATTACTGAACTCACCTCCACTACCCCAAGAGCAGGCGCAACAGTGTCTTGCATTCTGTTTTGAATGTCACGTGCCCTGTGCCAAATATCCCTGTGACCCTGAGAGTAGATGTAGACTGCAGGTCAGATGCTTCTGGAGACTCACAGAGATAGTGAATAATGTAATGAACTGAGGTAGCCCTGAGCTGCCTGGGAACCAAAGGGAGGCTCACCATTCTTCTCTTCCTATAGGGTGAGAATCACCTCATAGACTGTATTGAGTAGAGTGGCCAGAGTGACTAACAAGTTTGGATCTGTCACCAAGGAGCAAAAAGACCCTCAGGGTTGGAGAGGGGAGCTTTAAATAGCACCTGCTGATGGTGTCCTGTGTGTCGCCTGTGCTTTTTTTTAGAAGGATTTTTGTTTGTGTTGGGGGGCCAAGATGAAAATAAGCAGACACTGAGCTCGGGGGAGAAGTATGACCCAGACGCCAACACGTGGACTCCTCTTCCACCCATGAATGAGGTATGGTACAGTTTGTCTCCAAGGTGTGTTTCCTTTCTCCTTGGCACTTTTATTGGTGTGGGTTCCAGTGTAGGGAAAGAAGAGGCAGCCTGGCCTCTCCTGCCTGGAGCTCTGCTTTCCCTCATCTCCTTCTCCTGCCTTTTACCTTCCCTGCCTCCTTCTAGCACCACCTCCCTGATTGCTTCCCCAGTCTCAAGATGTCTTCCCCACTGCCTTCCTTCCTTTCTTTGTTGTTCCCTACCTCTGCACACACTGATTGTACACGTTCCCACAGAGACTCCACTAGCCAGGAATTTCTTATGTTCTGCTTGGGCTGTGCGTGAATGATACGCATATCTGCCTTCTGTAATTGCTGATACTCTAGCATGCCCTGACCTCCCTGCTACCCATCCTGGACACAGATAGTCTACACTACCTGGCTTCTGTCATCTTCAGTCTCCTCAGAAACCTGCTTGCCCCTAACCGCACAGAAGCAATGTCCCTGAGTCAGTTGTCCTGGGAGGCAGGCGCTCTTCTGAGTTCTGTAGGTTAAGCACAACACCTCTGCTGATGAGCCTGCATCTTTGTCCCTGGTCCTGAGGAGTGACTGGCTCTGTCTGTTGTGCTGAGGAAGCCACACATAATGAGGAGGCATCCCAAGGAGAAGCAGTGTAAACAAGGTTACTCTTTGCTGGGATGCTGGAATAAAACAATGCCTGTGGCATTTAGCAAACATGGAATATCCACTTTCTACTACAAAGGTTTGTGATGTCTTTCCAGGCAAGACACAACTTCGGGATCGTGGAGATAGATGGGATGCTGTACATCCTCGGAGGGGAGGATGGTGACCGGGAATTGATTTCCATGGAGTGTTACGATATTTATTCAAAAACCTGGACGAAGCAACCTGACTTGACCATGGTTAGAAAGGTGAGTGCAGCAGTCAGTCAGCTGCAGCAGCTTCTTTACAAGTCAGTGTCTCTTTCTGGGGTTGGTGGTTGCAGTGGGGAGGGACATACCCAGGGCCTCATGTTTCACTCTGCTGGAATGGAACTCCCAGCGCACATCTTCATCTTAAGTATGCCTTTCAAAACTGCGGAGAGGATCAAGGCTCCAGAATTCTGTCTCTGCTGGCAGCCTGCCTTCATGTCAGCAGTCACAGTCACAGAAGGAAAGCCCCCATGAGTCTTTGTCTGCCTCTGAGCAGCCCTGCTGGGTTGCAGGGTCTGTAGAAGATTCTTTATGGATAGCCTGGTCTCTCCCACATTCCTCCCTTACTCTACAAGTGAAAAACTGCAGTGGCTTCCTCCTGTGAGCCTCTGTCACTTAGACTCAGGCCACAGGCAGAGCTGTCTGTCAGTCCATCTGGTTATGACTCTGGTTCATGTCATGGATATCCTGTCTTATCTTACTGTGCACCCATCCCACTAGACAGTTGTGGCAGCAATTGAGCAGTTTATTGTTCCAAATATCTTCACTTTTGGGAACTCAATCAAATACTGGTGAAAAGAGGAAGATGCTGGGAAGCCTCTTCTATTCCCTGTCTCGCCCAGTGTGATGGCGGATAGAACTCATGGTTTGTGCATACTAGGCAAGGGCTATCCCACTGCCTACATCTCCAGAATTTAAAATCTCTTGTGGAAAGTTAGATTATGAGGGCATCAAGATGGCTCATAAGGTGGGTAAAGGTGCTTGCTGCCAAGTGTGATGACTGGAGTTGAAGTGCCAGAATCCATATGGTGGAAAAAGGGAGCCAGGTCCCCACCCCCAAAAAAAGAAAAATTGTGGGATTGTGGGCTAGGGTCCAGTATAGGGGCAGAACACTGATCTGGAATGTTCAAGGTTCTGGGTTCCAGTCCAAGCATGGCCCCCACTAAATAAAGAGAAGTATATTACTGGCTTCTTTGCTGAAGATGGCTGAAGGGGGGATTTCCAGAATGTGTCACCAGCTCTTTCCATCTCTGAAACCCTGTGAGGTCATTTGAGGACATGTCACTGTTTTGCTGTTAGGAGTTGGAACTTGCCCTATGAATGTGACCATGCTCTCTGGGTCAGTTGCTGTCTGTTCTTCCGATCCTAATGACAAATGGTACCTCTCCCCACCATTGTTTTTCCTTTCAGATTGGCTGCTATGCAGCTATGAAAAAGAAAATCTATGCCATGGGTGGAGGATCATATGGAAAACTGTTTGAGTCTGTGGAGTGTTACGATCCACGGACCCAACAGTGGACTGCCATATGTCCACTGAAAGAGAGGAGGTGAGGCAAAGTGTGTGTGCCTATCAGTGTGCTATTGTTGACATATCTGAGGCCTCAGAGTATGGCGTGTCCTAAAACAGAAGCCCATATGCACATATAAAACAGCATTGCAGTTACAACAAGCAAAAAGACTGGGGAAGTGGCTCAGTGTTAAAGTGTGTGGTGTGCTACACAAGTGTGAGAACCAGAGTTCAAATCCCCAGTACCTGAGTAAATGTCAGGCAGGCACTGGAAAGGCAGACACAAGGGGTTCCTAAGGAAGCTGGCTAGCTGGACTAGCCCTATCGGCAGTCTCTAGGTTCATTTGAGAGGCCTTGCTTTAATGAGTAAGGAACCCAGGAGTCACTACTAATGTCAGCCTTGGGCCTGCCTACACATGCACACACTCATGCACACACACAAACACAGACACACACACACACACACACACACACACACACACATGTGCCTATACACATAAAGACAAATGCAATTGGGTTGGCACACATGCCTGTTGTCACAACACTTGGAAGACTATTGAGGCAAGAGGATTACTGTGAGTTCACGGCCAATGTAGTCTACATAGTGAGTTCCAGCCTATCCTGAGTACATAATGAGATCCTGTCTCAAAAAGACCAACAAACAAAAGAACACGTAGTAGAGGAGTTAGGGCTGAGGGCCTGAGTTCTAAGCCAGCACCTGTGTTCTGTGGCCTTGCAGGTTTGGAGCAGTGGCCTGTGGTGTTGCCATGGAGCTGTATGTATTTGGAGGCGTCAGAAGTCGAGAGGACATCCAAGGCAGTGAGATGGTAACCTGCAAGTCTGAATTCTATCATGATGAGTTCAAGAGGTAAGCAGCCTTGAGGATTCTGCCCTGGTTCTCTCCCTCTGTGAATTTGACAGTCTCGAGGTCCTCGAGCCTGTCCTTGCCATCTGTGCTTCCAGAGATGTGTCTCAGCTTGATTTCCAGTGATGTCACTGAATTCTGTCAAGGGAGTATGTTCAGTACATGTAGATATTTTTTCAGTGCCTTCAGAAGTTGGTGAGTGCCTTAGTTGCTTTTCTACTGCTGGGGTAAGACATGATGACCAAGGCAACTTATGAAAGAGCACATTTAATTGGGCTTACAGTTTCAGAGGGTTAGAGTCCATGATTGTGGAACGAAAGCATGGTGGTAGGAACAGCTGAGAGCTAAACTGGAGGCAGAGAGAGAGAGATGGGGGGGGAGAGAAATGGGAAAGGCCAGAGTTTTCTGAAACCAAAATACCAGTAACACACCTCCTCCAACAAGCTACACCAGGCTCGCACATGCTCCTCAGTCCCTGATCCCATGTACTCTGCACATCTCCCTGTCTCTGTAACTGCTAATCTGTGAATGTATACAGGGCAAGGTCCCATGTGGCCAACCCATATTATCCTCCAGCATCAAACTGACTGGCATCAGATGCTCCATCTGTGTCTGAGATATTAAAACACTGACGAGCCAGCAATGTGTTTCAGCAGATAAAAGGCACTTGCCATCAAGCCTGATGACCTGAATTCAGTTGTCAGGACCCCCAAGATAGAAAGAGAAAACTGATTCCCACACGTTGTCTTCTGACTTCCACACAGCTTGTCACTTCACCCCCCTCCCACACACACACACACAAACAGTAAATGAATAAATGCAAAAAGAAAAACCTTTTTTGGTGGGGTTTCTCCTGGCTGTCCTGGAACTTACTTTGTAGACCAGGCTAGCCTCGAACTCACAGAGATCCACCTGCCTCTGCCTCCCAAATGCTGGGATTAAAGGCGTGCACCACCATGCCCAGCTTAAGAAAACCCTTTTTTAAAAGTGCCTGACAGGCCATGGCATGCTTCTGTGGTAGGTACTGTCCCCTCCTCTCACACACTTTCCCATTCATAAGCATGAGGCAGTGTTCTTCACTGTAGTGATCTGCTCAGATCGCCAGAGAAGATCACGGCTAATCTTATGTGCTTCAGTCATGTTACCAGAGCGGGTGCCATCAGATAAGGTCTCGTTTCCTGTCTTTGAGATTGGGTGAATGATGAACAGACACAGGGCGTTAGACATGCATATAAATGTTGCCTCATCTGCCATGCACTTTCCTTTAGGATATTTTCAGAGATGCTTTTGCTTCCCATTACTAGGGGTAGACTGTCAGGGGAATTTACTAGACAGAAAATGAGGCCATTTAGACAGTATTTGCTCTGTGGGGGTGGGCAGAGAATGTCAGAGGCTTGTTACATTTCTTCTTTGATATGCCACTGTGGGGGCCGGTTGCGGCAGTAGGAAATAGTGTATTAATCTCTTGCCCAGATGAGTGTGAGACAGTCTGTCCCGCTTGATTAGCAGGCAGCAGCAGCATGTCTGGCTTTTGAGAAAACACTGACACAAACCTTTTTCATGACAACTGACTCAGTATGTAGTCAGCATGAGCTGAAGTCGTTTGCTTACATTTTTATTCCTTTTGTCTGTTGCCTTGGGTGGGACTGAAATCTGACTGTAAAGCTTCCTGGCTGTCCTAAGACAAGCTAGAACTTTGGTGTTCCTACCAGTCAGCCTGCCACATGCTTGTTGTTGATGAACTTGACCACCCATTCTTAGTATGAAACTATGACCCTATTAGTAAAAGTAGTGCTCTTTTGTTTTTTTTCTTTTTCTTTCTTTTTATGTTTTTTTGTTTTGTTTTGTTCTTTTTAATTTTCTTCATTCTTGAGGGTCTCACTCTGTAGCCCTGACTGACCTGGAATTCTCTGTATAGTCTAGTCTTGCCATGAATTCACAGAAATCTGCCTGCCTCTGCCTCTTCATCATGCCTGGCTTTAAATTTATGTTTTTATTATTTATTTGAGTCTGTGTCTGTGTCAATGTGTGGGGTGTGTGTGTGTGTGTGTGTGTGTGTGTGTGTGTGTGTGGAGTGATGGATCAGAGGTTAATAGCACTGGCTGCTCTTCCATAAGTCCTGAGTTCAATTCCCAGCAACCACATGATGGGCTCACAACCATCAGTAATGAGATCTGGTGCCCTCTTCTGGCCTACAGACATACATGCAGACAGAACACTGTATACATAATAAATAAATAAATCCTTTTAATAAAATAAAACCCTTTGTCTTAGGGTTTCTATTACTGTGAAGAGACACCATGACCACAGCAATACTTATAAAGGAGAAACATTTAATTTGGGTGGCTCACTTACTGATCAGAGATTTATTCCAGTAGCATAATGGTGGGACATGGTGCTGGAGCTGAGAGACCTACATTTTGCAGACAACAGGAAGTGGTCTGAGACACTGAGCATGACTTGAACATATATGAGACCTCAAAGCCTTCCTCCACAGTGACACACTTCCTCCAACAAGACCACACCTACTCCAACAAGGCCATACCTCCTAGTAGTGCCACTCCCTTTGGGGGACATTTTCTTTTCAATCACCACACCCTTCATCTATAAAAAAATTTTCTTCACCGGGCAGTGGTGGCGCACGCCTTTATCCCCAGCACTCAGGAGGCAGAGGCAGGCAGTGAGTTTGAGACCAGCCTGGTCAACAGAGTGAGTTCCAGGACAGCCAGGACTATTACACAGCGAAACCCTGTCACATGGGGGGGAATTTTTTTTTTCAAATAAAATCCATAGACCACCAGCCTTTGTGTTCCCAGGCTTCCCAGTTTTAGTTTTTAAACAGAAAACAGCCACTAAGACCTCTTGTCAGTGACATACAGGGCATTTGCACATCTGTAGAACACTTGATCATGAGCAAAACAAGATGCTGCACAGTCACTGCCGAGGCTTATCTGTTCCCCTCTGAGGCACAGACACTGCCCTGTCCCATTTTATATGTGAGAACACCAGAGCACAGGGAGGTGAGCATGAAAGCAGACCTGGAACCCACACTCAGGCATTCTGGCTGCAGAGTCCTCTGATGCACCCACCCCACTGGCCTGACTGTTCCCGTAAATACTGGCAGAAAAACCCCACCTGCAGCAGGACAGCATTCCCAGTGTGCTCTCTGTGCATGCTGTGGAAGCTGCTGCCAGATGAGCAGTCTATGTTAGATTGTAAGGAGTCTCTTGTCTTTCCTGTCTTTGTTCCCTATTTTTAGGTTAAAACTTTCCTGGAAAAATGCCATATCTTACTATTTTCTGTGAGTTCTGAATTAAAAAAAAGAAAAAGAAAGAAAAGAAAAGGCCACAAGTCATGGTAACGACACACAGAGAGCAGGGACTTCTCTCTTCCTGGAAGTTCCTGTGTCCCTGTGGTATTTGTGCCTCTGCCCTTTTAGTTGTGCCCACACTTTGACAGGGTCCTCTCGGCTTCCTCACTCTCATGCTGCTGCCACATTTTACCTTTCACACTCAATAAGGGGTCTCTTGGGCACCCACTTTCCTTCCTGCTGCACACTGCTGGGGACTCTTTCCTCATCTAGAGCAGTGCTGCTCATGAGTTCTTCCCTTCCTAGACTTCTGCAAGATGAAGTAGACACTGTTGTCCACTGAGTGCCCTGCTGAGTGTTCTCCATGTCCTGAGGCTGAGGCCTCCCTTGTGGCATCTTCCTTTCCTGAGCCCTTTCACTTCTGCCTGAGTTTCCTGCCTTGAAACATGGTCCTTGTGTTAACTGTGAAGCCGGTGCCATCTTTTCATCTTTGAGTGTCCAATTGAATAGGGATGCTTGACACCTGGACAAATGTTAGTGATCCTTGGGTTGGGGACCATTGGAGCAGGAAGGGCTAAGAAAATCCCTTAAACTCTCCTGAGCCGGGCACTGGTGGTGCACGACTTTAATCCCAGCACTCGGGAGGCAGAGGCAGGTGGATCTCTGTGAGTTCGAGGCCAGCCTGGCCTCCAGAGCCAGTGCCAGGATAGGCTCCAAAGCTACACAGAGAAACCCTGTCTCGAAGAACCAAAAAAATAAAAAATAAAAATAAAAATAAACTCTCCTGCCCTCAAAAGACAAGAAACCCACTGTATCCCAGAGGTACTGATATTAAAAAAAAAAAAAATGCAGGCATGTGAAACCTATCACTCCATCCAGTGCACTTAGAAAGGTAGAAATGGCTGGGCATGGTGGAACACACTATAATCCTCAAAAGACAAAAACAGGAGAATTTCTAATTCAAGCCAATGCCGATGCATACTGAAACCTTAGGAGGGAGAATAGGGAATGAAAGCAGTATGCCATGTCCTCAGCTCTGTTGGGTGACTGAACTGATCTCAATTGCTGTCCAGATGTGCGTCTTGGACAGGCTATGTCTTTCCATCTCAGGCCTTGCTCTGCAACTGTTGAGCTAGCTGATGTTTTCTCTTCATCACGTTTGCAAGGATCCCATCTGCAGAGAAGTTTCTCTATCTCAGTCTTAGAAGGCAGGGCCAGCAGCTAACCTGTGCAGTGTGGTCTCAGGGTTGAGTCAGCCATATATCAAAATTGATCATCCTGTGTTCTGCAGAAACCCCACTGCCTGCCCTTGCTGACCATGTCATCCCATTTGGCTCTGATGGTTGGGTAGAAGGAAGCTCTTCAGCTGCCTTAGTAAGACTCTTGAAGTAATGATCAGGGGAGTGAACCCTACTCTTGACCTCATCACTTTTAGTCATGGTCATCCTGGAGGCAGAAACCACACCAGTAATCTAAACAGAGAAAATGCAATAATGTATATAATTATTGACCAGCAATGGCAAGGGATGAAAAGGACTCTGAGGACAGTGGGCATTGGCCTGTGATACAGTTAAGTAGGTAGAATACATGCCTAGCATTCCATATTCCTAGCACCAGCAAACCACCTGATGGTAGGCTGGGGATGTAGCTTAGGAGAGAGCATGCTGGATCGCTGGGGGCTATCTTCTGTACCCCATAAACTGGACATGTTATCCAGCACTCATGAGCTGGAAGGACCAGAAGTTAAGGTCTTCCTTAGCACGTTGGAGACCAGCTGGGGCCCTGCCTCAGAAAGAGAAAGGAAGAGGGAAGGTGAGACAGAGGAGGAGTCCGGGAGAGAAATATGGTGGTGGCTTAGCTTTATTTTATAATCTCAGGCAGATTATCTTGTTTCCTTGTTTCTTGGAATTCAAAATAAGGAAGCTGCCTGTTTCATAACAGTCAGCAAAGAGTCTGTTGAAGTGAGTGATAGTCTTTATGAGATGTTTCTATATTGGTAGTTGACATCAGACTTCGCTCCCCTACTACACTGGCTCTTTAGCTGCTGTGCTACAGGGTGGATAGGCCAAAGCGTGCACTGAACTGTAGGCACTGTCCTGGACAGTGGGGCCTCAAGGCTGTGACTGAGTAGCTATGATTTGGCATGCCTGTAAGCTATTAGTGGGAAATGGGTCACAGTTTCCTGAATGAACATTACTGCTCGGCAAAGCCTAGATTTTATCTATCTCATATGAAAGTAAGAGAACAGCCTTTGCAAGAGTTGATTCTCCAGCGTGGATCCCAAGGATCAAACTAAGGCAACAGACTAAGGAGCAAACACCCTCACCAGCTGAGCCATATGTGTTTTCAATAATTTTTATATTGATTTATGTTTATAAGTGTTTTGCCTGTATTATATGTATACCATGTGTGTGCCTGTGGAGGTCAATAGAGGGCATCAGATCCTCTAGAAAAAAATGTAATTTCAGATGGCTCTAAGCCACCATGTGGGTGCTGGACATTGAACTTGGATCCTCTGCAAAAGCAACAAGTACTCTAAACCATCTCTCCAGCCCCTGCAGTAATTTTAGACTCTAGAAAAGTTTCAGAAAGTCAAGGCATTCCCATGAGCCATTCATTTAACTTTTTGGGGGGATTGGGAGGGGGGCAGGTTCAAGACAGGGTTTCTCTGTGGCTTTGGAGGCTGTCCTGGAACTAGCCCATGTAGACCAGGCTGCTCTTGAACTCACAGAGATCCACCTGTCTCTGCCTCCCAAGTGCTGAGATTAAAGGCATGCACCACCAATGCCCAGCTCATTTAACTTCTAATGCTAGCGCCTCCCTTGTCAGAATACAGATGTCAAAACTTCTCAGTACTAGCTAAAGTACAGACTGTCTGGAGTGTCACTTACTTTCCAGCAACATGTCCATTGCCTCCATTCAACCTGGATTCTAGTTGCTTACAGGTGCTGTGTTTCCTTGCTGTCCTTTAGCCAGTGATAGCCCCTGTCTTTCCTGACTTTGACACTTGAAGGTAGTCAGTTTTTTTTTTTTTCTAGAATGCCTTTTTTCAAGGGCTTATCTTATTTTTATTTCGGTGTATGTTCTCTAAAATGAGCAAATTTTTGAATGAACATTTTGCAAAGTAGGTACATAAAGCAGCCAGTAAGCTCATGCCAAAATACCCATAATAGCTAGACTTTAAGGGAATTCTCACTGTTACAGGGGCTCAGTCCTCAAAGGAGTGAGTGTTGTTCTTTTGTTTAAATTTCCATCCCGAGACGGAACATGAACCAAGAAATTCATTAACCATGGAGTTTACTAAAAAGGGGGGGGGGGG